CTCTACTAAAGACAAACAAAAATTTCTATTAGGTACCGGCGCTTCAACTTCTAGTGCCAAAAATTAAGCCACAAAAATGTGAGATTGATTTTTCACCCATTTAAGACATAAAGTTGAACTAAAGTGGTTCAAAAAGCTCATATGTGAGCCTCTCAGAACTGAAATTCAATTGTAACTAAAATAGTGGAAATCCTATTCCCGGCTCTACTAGATCAACAACTTGAAGTAAAAAAGTACAAAAATGTCTTTTCTTATGAGTTTGTCATAGTGTTAGTAAGAAGCACTCTTACGCTGTAATGGATGAGTCTAATTGCTACTTATGTTGTGTTTAAAGTTAAACTTGTTGTTCAGGGAGAGGAAGGGGAGTGGGGATAATATAGGAAAGGAGGGAAGGGGATTTCATTATTTAGAAAAGAAGCGGAGCTTTTAGATTAAGAGTAGTTCTGTCAGGGTTAATAGTAAAGGTATCGTCAAATAAGTTTTTAATGATGTCATCAGTATGGTTAGTAACTGTGTCAAGAAACCGAGTATGTTTCTCAATAAGGTATTCCTGGATTGTGTCAACGCTCAAATCCGTATGTAGGTCCGCATTGCGATTTGCGAACATACCACGGAGCGCCTACGGATTACCTTGTTCTGAAACACTCGCAATTTCTTTTTATTTTGCCGTGATTTCTGTGAGAAAACTGGTTCACCGTAAAGTAATGAAGATTTGATCACTTGTTTGTATAGTAACAGTTTGTTTTTGAGAGTCAGTTTACTGTTCTTGTTAAGTAGTGGGTGAAGCAATCCAGCTAATCTGTTACATTTATTTAATTTATGATTAATGTGGGAAGTCCAAGAAAGTTTGTTGTCCAGTATTAGCCCTAAGTATTTAATTTGATATAGCATGGACTACTATTTCTGAATTGTCCAGTATCAGATTGATAATATGTCTGTTACGTTTGCAGGAGATCAAAACAGCTTGGGTCTTATCGATGTTAATTTTAATTTTCCATAATTTTGCCCAGTCAATTATGGAGTCAAGATGATTTTGTAGTCGTCTATGTATGTGATGTGAGTACTTTTGTGAAGTGTAAATACAAGTGTCATCTGCGTAGATGGAATTTTAGTATGAGGATTATTGGGGATGTCAGCCGTGTAAATATTATAGAGCAGTGGACAGAACCTTGAGGAACCTTGAGGTGTGACATTTGAGAAGGTATTTTTGTTGAGTTTGACATGGAAACTTCTGGCTTCGAAGAAATTAATGATAATTTTGACAAGAGATAATGGCAGAAAATATTTTCCATGAAGCTTGACTATAAGACCAGCATGCCAGACACGATCAAAGGCTTTCTCGACATCCAGCAGCACAACACCCGTTTGGGAGCGGCGCTGCAGGGCGCGAGTGGCTTCTTTAACCAACCCGGCAAGCTGAATCTCAGTAGAGTGATATGAACGAAAACCAATCAGGTAGAATGCTATCAAGATAATGTAAGGATTTCTAAGCTTTTCCTGAATTATTTTCCCAAGAATTTTAGAAAGTGAAGACAGAATACTGATTGGACGATAATTTTGTGGAAAGTGGTGATCTTTATCTGGTTTTGGAATTAGTATCACTGTTGCCAGTTTCCTTACTTTAGAAAAATTGAGATTGAGCCATGCATTTAGAATGCGAGTAAATGTACCGACGATGTTGTCCGGAAGGTTTTTAAGAACTTTATTACTGATATCATCATAATCAGAAGCTTTCTTGCTGACTGAACGGGTAATGAAAAATTTTACATCGTCGGTGGAGACAGGAGTTATTTTATCATTCAGAGGGACAGGCAGCCTACAGATTTCTCTATAGCGCCTGTCACGTCCGCTTCATGATCAATATCGTCATCAGGGTCTTCGTTAAGTGAAAATTGTGATTAAAGTGAGTTAGCAAAAGCACTTGCTTTTTCTTGATTAGTATACACCAAACCAACTCTACCATGAATGGTGGGAATTTGCCTATTTTTCTTATTTAGAAGAGAACGACTCATTTCCCATATGGAGTTATATTCAGGGGACAAGTCAGCAAGTAGAATACCCCATTTTTTGTTTTTATATTCCTTAATTAAGTTCGTAAGTCTGTTACACTCATGTTTGACGTTTGGGTCTCTAGTCCGTATTGCCAGCCTTTTAAGTCGATTTCTCAACAAGTGTTATTTTGTTTCGTAGTTATAGTAATTTTAGTGCTATTTAAACAATCATTTATTTCTCGAGTAAATGTGTTAATAGCACTGTCAATGTCCAGAGTCGTGTTTAACACGTCTGGTGGGAGATGATTGGCTTCAAGATGAAATGCGAATTGCGGATAATTAATAAAGGAAAAAGTGAGGTGAGTGTTGACAACTTTGAGACTAATTGGATTGTGGTCGGAGCTGAGATCGTTAATATTGCCAATACAAATGTTATAGGGGACATTTTTGGATGGAGCAAGGTCTAGAATATCAGGGGTAATATAATGAAAGTGAGTTGGCTCTAAGGGAGCGTGAACTGAAATAAGGTTATCCTGGGTGAACTGAAGTAAAAAAATGCCCGCTGTGTTATTAGCACAGGCTCTATTTTTGTAATTGAAATCGCCTGCAGCTATAGTTGGAGTATCAGAACCGAAGAAAAAATTCACATCATCATGGGTTAAGCGTTTAGAAGGAGGCTTATAAACACTGAATAAGTTAAGAGGGCCGCCTGCAAGGTAGACTACCACACCAGTGTATTCCATATTGTCCGAGGCAGGATTGGCAATAGTGTCAAAAATGTCTATTTCCGGCGCCTCTAATGCCAAAAATTGAACTAGAGAAATGTAAGTCAAAACTCAGTTTCAAGATTTGACCAAGAACGGTTCAAAAAGCTCATACTTGACCATTTCAAAACTAAAATTCAATTGAAATTTGTGAAATATTCATTCCCGACCTAACTTAAGCTGAAATTTGAACTCAAAAGGCATAAAAAGTAAATAAGAACTGTTGAACTGATTTTTGAATATAATTTTATTATAGCAACTTCTACTAGAAAATTCCAAGCTTCCTAGTTCCATAAAAAATTTAGGTAACATACAAAATTGAAAAGTCCCGGAACCCGATATCGAATAACCCTCGTCTCCCATATCGGTCGTAGCGGAAGAGCTCGAACTGATTTCAGCTGAAGGGTTGATGAATAGCAGTTAAATACATGGATAAATGAAGATTTTTGATCACGTTCTCCATGTGGTCATCGAATTATGCCAAAATATAAAGAAAGTGTCCGCAGAAGCATACACTGAGGAAATTGAATTCTTAAATTATCTTACTGGAATTTTCTTTATTGCAGACAAAATATCTTTAATAACTGCCATGAATTATCTATCTATTACTGAATAACGTATTTTTATGGTTGCTAAAAATTCTTTGTTGAATTATCCTCATTATCACCTATAGTTATAAATGAGCTCCTATAAAATACTTTACTCTTGTTAAAAATTTAATTTACTGATGTATTGTATTCAAATTTCTTGATACGAATTTACTACAGTAGCTAGATACTTTAATATGGTTACTACACACGATCTTTAAAATTGATCTTCATAACCATCGATATACGTTTTTTAACAACTATAAGTTGATTTTCAGTCTTTAAAATGTGCGTTATAGCCATAATAAACTTAAGCGGGCCGCTATTGGCTTCGGCTATTCGCAAAACAACCCGAAGCAGCCATAATGGTTTATTTTGTAATTTTTCTGTGCATTCCAATTATTGCTTCCATGCAAGCATGTAGCATGAGCCCGCTCATTTGTGATCAGGTGTTTGTGTCGTGTCGCGCCATTTTTTGCTGTAAGCGTTGATTAGTTAGTGCGTTGCGTTGGTGAATTATTTAAATCATTTTGAATTATTTATCATTTTGGATTTTGGATTTACACTGGCACTGGTCTGACAATGGCGTGTAAAGTTGCCCTTGTAGAGTGGGGCTTACAGTCATTTATCATTTATTGAAAAACAAGTGTCCTTTTTGAGAAAATATAAATTAAAAATGAAAACTCTCTTATTATCTGCTTTTGCTTTCTCCAAGTAGTATTTTTTATATTATATACTTAAGTAGTTGTGTAGGTATACATATACGATTCGAAATTTTGTTAGTTTATGTGATTACTGTAGATGCAGCTTCTATTTTTTTAATGTCACCATAATAATATGTAGATATCAACAATTAATAAAAGTTTGATTGAAAAAATACCCATTGTCTTTTATTTTTACCTCTTCCCAAATGCAATATAATAGTACCATAACATTTTTAATAACCCTTAGGCCCAGTTGTACAATCTTGGTTCAAGACAGAGTTCAGCTGAACTCGACTAGTACTTGAACTTCCCCATTCGAAATGCATTGCTGTCAAAAATAGCTAGAATTTGATTAATAGCTGACAGCAATGTATTTTAAATGGAGAAGTTCAAGTACCAGTCGAGTTCAGCTGAACTCTGTTTTTAACCAAGATTGTATAACTGGGCCTTATAAGGTTATCTTGTTATGATTATAAAAGGAATTTTTGGTGGTCCAAAAAAAAATATTAATGGTATAAAGATATTCATCTGTTATTATTAAAATGTTTATATTATCCCTTATAAGATATATTAAGGGTTAATATACGATTTAATAACCATCATCAAATATTTATTGACAGTTAAAAAATCGTTTTTTAACCATTCAAAACTATATTTTATTGTGACTCGTTTATAAATTTTTAATGGTCTTTAGGCGATTTCAGTAAATTGGTCTATCAATGGTAGTAAAGTAGTAGTTTATAAAGTGACTTTTATAATGGTAACTACAACAGCGCTTTTCTGTCCCCCATTTTATACGATATTTTTATTAAGGTTATTAAGATTTTTATAATGGTCTAAAATTAATTCTTTCAGTGTAAGAAATACAACTACAGTTTCTCAAAATATGTTAAAATTGGACTTTGATTCGATCTTTTTCAAATATTTAACTTCAAAAAGCATTTAAATACTTACGTTCAAGAAATTTATTCACCAACTTCACCCATTTGTTAATATCAGTTTGATTGGTCATGTTGTACCAAATGAGCGAACCTTCCTCCGTCTTATCGGAAATCGGTCTGAATCCCAATCCTGGATTCGTACCGATTAGACTCTCGTCCAAAGTCCATCTCGGTTCGGTGTCGCTGAGCGTAGCAAAGAGTCCTTGCATACAAATTGCGAACAGCGCCGCTAATACTGCGTAGAAAATGGCGTAGAATACCAGAAGTTGACCTGGAACAAATTGAGAATTGATGTTAGTTTTGTGTAAAATTTAATTTCAATAATGGTTTTATTTTTACATGGTTAAATTATTTATCGACGGACAATGAAATGGTGCACAATCTTGTAACACTGGCTCATACGAAATAAAACAGAAGCAAATGCTTTCGCTTAAGTTTTTTGACATGAACATATTTAGCTTTAATGCAGAAAAAAGAGACGGAGGTAGAGTAAAAGCTACACTTTATACATAAGACTGACTGTCTGATGCGAATGGAACTCTAGCGAATTCGGGAGTAAATTATCTAGACAATTCTAGAAGCAACAACGCGCTATAAAACAGAGTAGGTTACCAAAAGGAAGAGGTAAGTGATAAATTGGGCGCCAGTGTCTCAAGATTCACTTAGTGAATGCGAATAAAGTTATAAATCAATTTTGGAAGAGTAACCTCACTTATTTACCAACTCGCATACGTAATTACCAGTATCGATACACTTGGCAACGCTGGAACGCTGCTTCAAACATCATTTAAATTTAACTTCAAAAACCAATTTGTAGTCGATAATAACAAAATAATTGTTTCTATTCTTAGAAGCCAACCGCTAATTAGATTAGAATGGTGTTATGTTTATAATTATTCCTAAATGGATTTAGGTAAAAGGCGATACAGATTATTCAAAACGAAACCTTGAATATATGAAAATTGAAGGCGCGTGTGTTAAAAGTGCGCTACTAAAATTTTAAAGAGTAATTATTACCATCGTCGTATTACTATTTCATAATCGACTTTAACCTACGCTAGTATTAAAAGTTCAATTGCATGCATGCTTGTCGATAGATAATTAATATTCTGATATCAATAACATAATGAGGACATTTTGTGTGGTTTTTCCTTAATAAACATTAATGTTTCTATTTTGCATAGTAAAACTTCAAAGAAACCTCAAAGATGTTTGGGCTTTAACTGTACCTACCTAAAGTTTAATAATTTTGTCTGTTAAAAAACATCCATCAAATCTAGTCTAGACTTTATTTCAAAAGTACCTATATAATCACTATTGAGAGATAAAAAGAAAATCTCAAAGCCTGGTTGACAGGGTCCGTAAGGTTAACCAAATTAGTTGAGATAATTCAATGAGAACGAGCCAGACAAGCGTACGCTATTTCATTTCGTTAGTGAAACGAAATTACACTGTCGCTCCAGTATTATCGTTTAAGTATGCATTGTTTGCTGGTGATTAAATAAAAGACTGTTTTGCTTTTATAAGTTTATGATTCAATTATACATACAGATTGCAAAAGTTGCATTAATTGAATTCAATTTAGGAGCCAGAGTTCTTCTATAATTTTATCGTTTTTTTTAAATTTTAATTTTATATAGATTAACATTTTTACTAAGTAAAATGTTGAGGGATTGTTGTCTAACAGGGTGGACTTGTTACTTTCTGTCATTGAAATAAAATAAGGGTTTAGGGCTCTTTCTGCTAAAGGTTGAAAGGGGGAAATTTAGCAGTAATTAACTTACTAACAAGTTGCGGATATCTGATTATATCGGAAACGTTATAGTGGCATTTAAAGTGAGAAGAGCAGCTTCAAGTTCTGAGAAGATCCAAATCTCCTTTTGAGTGAAGTATGAAAAAGCTTTGAAGCTGACATTTATTTCAAAATTCTCAAACATCAAAAACGTGAAGAAAATCTAAAAAATCTACCTCTCCTTTGGACATGATTCCGGTAAGCAAATTTCAAGAGTAGAGATGATGAAATTAGATAGGTATTTTTTTGATGAAAGTACAAGAACTAAATTTTGAAACGGAAAATGCAGAATCTAAAAAAACAAATAAATGTCAGGTCTTGTTCGTATAAAGCTAACATAGACCTAATAAAGTAAACGTAAAAATACGTAGCTATGTAACTAAAATAAAGTCATTAAAAACTCGTCTATAGGCGAGTAAGCAGAAACCAAACAAGCAAACCAATTTATTCTTTTACGAAGAACAGAAAAAAATTAATACGAGATTTTGAAAATAAACAGTCCTGTTTGATTAGTAATATCATTAGCGACAGATACCATCAGTTACTTCTAAAAATTACGGGTGGATGATTACAGAGAATTAGCCTAATTCAGCTTTGATATCATCCATTCATAATGTTGATCAGTTCTATAAATTCGGCTCCTAATAATTTCAGGCAGGAATCGATAGCGCATCGCGGCGTATATTGATTTTTTCGTGATTATCTGGAAATTATTTGGTATTTGTGTTTGGCAGAACGGATTTTTGAAAATCGGAAACCCAAGTCTATCGAAGACGTAGAGGAACACAATTATCGGAAACTAGAACCAAATCGTCTAGTCTTGCAAGAACAAGGATTAATGGGAGGTCCAGATCGCCGATCGAAGCCTTTTTTTTTTTTAAGAAAAAATACTATATTATACTGGAAAGCCATATTTCAAAGAAAACCTCACTAGATTGGAAAAATCTTAGGACGAAATAAATATTCAGAAGCAACTAATCAATGGCATGAAAACATCCATAGATGAGGAAAATAAAGTGCTGGCAACTGGGGTAGAGGATCTAAAGTTGGCATTGAGTAGCTCTACACTCAGGCAACGCTTGGATGAATCAAATACTTCAAATAGGAGATGCAGCTACGTTGAGAGAAGATCAGTTGGGAGAAAAGGAGGGATTCATAAGGAAGCACTGTTATTATCAGACTTCTGGCAAAGAAGAAAGAAGAACGGATGAAAGCTATATAAAAACGAAAATAGAAATAAGATAGTTTTTTCAACTGATGAGCATGGTAAGCATAATATGGTCCACTTCCTTGCTCGTCATTTTGAGATATATTGTATTGGATACTATTCTTGAACTAATAACAAAACCATTTACTAGGTTTAGGATCTTGGTTTCTAATGCCGATTGTTATGTTAAAAATTTATCTTCCACCAATTTAATTATAGGCTATTGACTATGTCATTAAATAAGGAACTAAGACGTTAGTGGAATTTTATTGTTTGATATGTTCAAATGGTCCCTAGAGATGATAAAACCGCGGAGTGCTACCAGATATAGGAATGCATTTTTAAGAGCGGGGTGAGTGTCACTCGTGCTCTTTTTCAACTAAAAATGCATTCGGGCAAATTTCCCAAAAATTATCAATAATTTCCATTGCACTAGTTATATTACTATTGAAAATTCTCTCTTCCATTTGTTTAACTAGAGAGAATTACAGCGATAATTCTCCCATGTTATTGTATATATGGTTGTCATGCTAATTTTTGCTACAAACAAATGGTTCCTGAGCAACCATTTATTTGTATTGATTGTTAAGATGTTCAAATCATTTAATACATATTTATTTTTATATTTTTTGCATTCTGTTACGTGAAATAATCCTCTAAATACCACTTCAGCTTTAAAATAAACCAGATAATTTTTCACTCATGCGTGTAAAACACGCAATCGTGAAAAATTATCGGTAATTTTCAAGCTCTCGTGGTATTATCCCCGACAATTCCACTCATGTATAAATAATCCCATTTGAAATGTCAAAAATCGTAGTTTGCTAGCGGATAAATAGGAAGGAAGAGAAAATATAACTGGATAAAAAAATCGGATAAATTTTCTGTTGATGCAATCGTTACCGTAGTAACAATTGCATATAAAATTGGTTTTTGAATCATCTGTCAAATAATTGTCACAAAAATTCACAAGTTCTATCATTTTAGCTTATTAAAAGTGTATTTTTAAATAAAATTAAAAATATTTTCAACATGCAGCGATTTGGGACAATTAAAGATGAATTTATAGCGAAATAGAAAATTCAATTCCTGAGAATACAGAGTCTTCTTCTCTTTCTGTAGAGTCAAATTTTAAGGGGCAAAATATTTATTCTAATTGTACCTTCAATAACTATTCATTTTAAAAAGTATTTCGATATTTTATTTTGATTATGCATTCGTGGAATTGCCGTACTAAATACCATTCGAGCTCAGATTTTGAGCAGGATATTTTTTTGCTTGCTCTCTCATACTTACTTTCATGCAATTTATCTGGATCTGTTCCATAAAATCACTCGAGCTGCGCTCTCGTGATTTTGTCGGAACAGCTCTCGTTAAATTTCCTAAAAGTAAGTATTCGAGACCAAGCCAAAAAATATCCGGCTAAATCTGAGCTCTTATGGTATTACCTACGATAATTCTCCCATGTTATTGCAGACATTTTTGTCATGCTAATTTTTGATGCAAACAAACGGTTCCTGATAGCAACCATTTATTTGTATTGATTGTTAAGATGTTCAAATCGTTTAATACATATTTATTTCCATATTTTTTGCATTCTCATCCGTGAAATAATCCTCTAAATACCACTTGAGCGTTAAAATGAACCAGATAATTTTTCACTCATGCGTGTTTTCTCTGCAAATTTCACTCGTCCTACGGACTCGTGAAATTATAGAAAACACGCAATCGTGAAAAATTATCGGTAATTTTGAAGCTCTAGTGGTATTATCCCCGATTATTCCACTCATGTGTTAGAAATCCTATAAGACAAGTGACGATTTCCAGAATTACAGCGAAAATTCTCTTTTCCATTTGTTTAACTAGAGAGAATTACAGCGATAATTCTCCCATGTTATTGTATACATGGTTGTCATGCTAATTTTTGATACAAACAAACAGTTCCTTATAGCAACCATTTATTTGTATTGATTGTTAAGATGTTCAAATCGTTTAATGAACCAGATAATTTTGAAGCTCTCGTGGCATTATCCCCGAAAAAACAAGTATTTGGACTTCAAAGGATGTCATTTCGATAGGAAATTTTATTCTCTACAAAAAACCTCAATGCATTTATTCATCAAAAATGCATAGTTTTTGAGTTATAGCCGAAGACCCAAAAAGCTGACAAACTCACCCCGCTCTTAAAAATGCACCCCTATATTTGGTAGCACTCTGCGGTTTTATCATCTTTAGGGGCCAATTGAACAATAAAATTCCACTAACGTCTTAG